CTTCAAGGACATTCATGCTTCTATTCAGAAGTTTTCTAAACTTAATACTTTTGAAATATTTAGCTTTATTTTGAAAATCTTCCCTCTTTCAAATGACTGGGGAAATTTTACTTCTGTATACTTTCAGCTATTTCCAGTATTAAATTGTTCAGCTCTTCAAGGACATTCATGCTTCTATTCAGAAGTTTTCTAAACTTAATACTTTTGAAATATTTAGCTTTATTTTGAAAATCTTCCCTCTTTCAAATGACTGGGGAAATTTTACTTCTGTATACTTTCAGCTATTTCCAGTATTAAATTGTTCAGCTCTTCAAGGACATTCATGCTTCTTTTCAGAAGTTTTCTGAACGTCATACTCTTGAAATATTTAGCTTTAGTTTGAAAATCTTGCCCTATTCAAATTAATGGGAAAATTCTACCCCCGCTTACTTTCAGCTATCAAAACTATTCAGGTGTCAAAATGTTCAGCATTTTCAGGGCGATCTTCCAGCACTCAGCATCCATATGCATTTTCTTCAGAAAATGCATTTCTCTAGTTAGCAATAAAAACAAAATACTAGCTAAAAAATAAAAGACCTTAAACACTGCTGTGTAAGTGAACAAACACAAGTGGGGTTGGAGAATTACTAGTCAGCCCCTAAACGCTGAAGAATCCCACTGTATAAGCTGAATATTAGCAGCTCAGTGTTGTGCAGAAAAGTTCAGAGCGGTCAGTTATATTAAATCCCAGTGCCAGTAATTCATGAAGGCATCACACATAGTGAACATATTCCACTTCAAAATGTAAAGGTGCACATACACTGAACAAAAAAAAAATGCAACACTTTTGTGTTTGCCCCATTTTTCATGAGCTGAACTCAAAGATCTATGACTTTTTCTGTGTACACAAAGGGCTGATTTCTCTCAAATATTGTTTACAAATCTGTCTAAATCTGTCCTGATTCAGTTCCACTGCTTCCTGTCAGGCTCTTATTTTGACATGAATTCCTTTTTTTGTTTCACCTCAGTTTCAGTCTTTTCGATAATCACTCACATTAGCTCTGTGGATGCTCTAAAGCATCCACACTATGTTCTTCTGTTCTTTATTTATTATTGTGTGGATGCTGTGAAGCATCCACACTTTGTTATCCTGTTCTTTATTATTCTGATTTTTTTCCATCCATTTTTCGGCACTTAATTTCTTCAGAATACTTTCAGCTACAAAAGCCATGAAGTTATCAAAATGTTCAACTTTTTAAAGACATTCCTGCATTTATTTTTATTGTTTGTAACATTTATACTTTTTAAACTATTTAGTTTTTTTCAACAAATTTTGCCCCATTCAAATGAATGGGAAAAATGTTCACATCCTAATATCTTCAGCATACCTTCAGCTAAAACCACCATTTCAACTAATAACTATTCAGCAACTCTTCAGCTATTTACACTGTAAACAGCTTTTTGATATTTTTTATGGTTTTTGCATAATTATCATTGACATTTTATGTCTCATTTCAATAGCCACACTTTAGTATTTCGCGTTGAGTAGCACTATTCTTTCTTTCTCATACACACACATACACACACACAGACACACAAACACCTACACACCCACACACACACAACACTGCTTCTTTTACCTACTTTGCGAGGATCAATAGGAAAATGTTCACATCTTAATAAGTTCAGTATACTTTCAGCTAGAAAAGCCATTCTAGTATCAAAATGTTCAAGTTTTTCAGGACATTATGGTGGATAGTCAAGGTTTTTTTTACAACTTTCATACTTTTGAAAATATTCATTTATTCTGACAATTTTGCCCCATTCAAATGAATGGGGAAATCCAACTTTAGCATACTTTCAGCTGTCAAAATGTTCAGCTCTTTAAGGACATTCATGCTTCTATTCAGAATTTTTCTAAACTTCATACATTTGAAATATTTAGCTTTATTTTGAAACTTTTGCACCATTCAAATGAATGGGAAATTCTACTTCAGCATACTTTCAGGTCTCAAAATGTTCAACTCTTCAAGGACATTCATACTTCTCTTAAGAACTTCATGCTTTTGAAATATTTGGCTTTATTCTCAAAATCGTGCCCCATTCAAACACATGGGGAAATTTGACACTCAGCATACTTTCAGCTATTTCAGCTATCAAAATGTTCAGCTCTTCAAACTCTCTAAACTTCATACTTCACATCTCAATAAGTTCAGTATACTTTCAGCTAGAAAAGCTATTCTGGCATCAAAATGTTCAGGTTTTTTCAGGACATTATGGCGGATAGTCAAGGTTTTTTACAACTTTCATACTTTTGAAAATATTCATTTATTCTGACAATTTTGCCCCATTCAAATGAATGGGGAAATCCAACTTTAGCATACTTTCAGCTGTCAAAATGTTCAGCTCTTTAAGGACATTCATGCTTCTATTCAGAATTTTTCTAAACTTCATACATTTGAAATATTTAGCTTTATTTTGAAACTTTTGCACCATTCAAATGAATGGGAAATTCTACTTCAGCATACTTTCAGGTCTCAAAATGTTCAACTCTTCAAGGACATTCATACTTCTCTTAAGAACTTCATGCTTTTGAAATATTTGGCTTTATTCTCAAAATCGTGCCCCATTCAAACACATGGGGAAATTTGACACTCAGCATACTTTCAGCTATTTCAGCTATCAAAATGTTCAGCTCTTCAAACTCTCTAAACTTCATACTTCACATCTCAATAAGTTCAGTATACTTTCAGCTAGAAAAGCTATTCTGGCATCAAAATGTTCAGGTTTTTTCAGGACATTATGGCGGATAGTCAAGGTTTTTTACAACTTTCATACTTTTGAAAATATTTATTTATTCTGACAATTCAAATGAGTGGGGCAACAAAGAACTTCAGCCATTTCTTCTCAACTGTTTCAACAAAGAACTTCTGCCTTTTCTTCTCATCTTTCAGCTGTTTCAGCAATTGATTTCAGACATTTTCAGGACAATCTTTCAGCTTTTATTAGCATCCACACGCATTTTCAAGAGGAAATGCATTTCTCTAGTTATTATTCTGACATTTTCCATCCATTTTTTGGCACTTTATAAGTCCAGCATACTTTCAGCTATACAGGCCATTCAGGTATCTACCTATTCAGCTTTTCAAGGACATTCCAACCTGCTTGTATTCAACTTTCTTATAACATTTATACTTTTTAATTTATTCAGCTGTTTTTTACAATACAATCAATGGGAGTGTCAATGACACAGACCTGGAGTGCCATCTGGCGGTCCCTAAAATGCAGCGCAATTGAGACATGGCACTTTATAACTCTTCTCTCTCGCTCTTTCTCTCTCCCCTCCCTCTCCCCACCCTCTCTCTCTCACACACTTACTTGTTTTACCTACTTTGTGGGGACTTTGTGGAATATTTTCACATCTTTATAAGTTCAGCATACTTTCAGCTAGAAAAGCCATTCAGGTATCAAAATGTTCAGCTCTTCAAGGACATTCCTACTTGTATTTATTGCATCTCATCCTTCAGATTATTAAACAAAGAACTTCTCATCCTTCAGCTGTTTCAGCACTTGAATTAAGGCATTTTCAGGATGATCTTTCAGCATATCAGCATCCACATGCATTTATGACAGGAACGTCATTTCTCTAGTTGTTTGTCATCCTTCATCTTTTTGATCTATCCATTCTCCCAGCCCTCATTCCGTCCTTACCTTGCTTTGCTTACTTTCCCCATCCTGCCTTTTTCAATCTATCTCTTCTTCAGTCTTTTTCCTCACTTCTGTCCTTCTAGTCCTGATTCATCCTATCCTTCTTCTTACGTTGATCTTCTTATTCTTCCTTCCATCTGCCTAAATTCCATCTCTACATACTATATGTCTTATATCCTTTATCCTTGCCTTATTTTATGACTTAATTGCACCTTTCTTGCTCCCTTTGATTCTTTTCCCTCCTTCCCCCTTTTACTCTGGTCAAAGCTTTACAAACTTTATTTTTTCCTCCCCCCCATCATTCTTTCAATTTATGATTGCCTTCTTCCTCATCCCCATTTCCTCATTCCACCATGATTATCCTTCCTGATAACTTTTTCATGACATTTATCTCATTCTTTATTGTCTTTTCTTAACATTGTCCATCCTGTGTATCCCCTGCATCTTTGCTACCTTTGTTAATCTTTTCTTTATTTTCTTGGATTCACCTTATTCCTCACCTCTCTCATTTCACTTTCCATCCCTTTCCTTCTTCCTTCTGCCTGTCTGCCATCTTTCAACCTACTTTCTTCTTCTCTTTTCCCTTTTGCATCTTTATTCCCATAATTTTCCCTTCTCCTGTACAGTAATCTCATCTCTCTGCCCATGTGTCCTTAATTTCTTCACTTTTCCACCCTTATTTTTTCTCTTCCCTTTTTCTCACTTGTTTACGTTCTCAGTCACCTTCTTTCTTCAGTCCTTTTTTTCTTTCCAATATCTTTCCTTACTGTTTTCATTTACTTGCCATTTTTCATTCTCATTCTCACTTCCTGCATCTATTCCTTCCTCTCCTCTTTGCTGGCTTCTTTTTCTGTACCCCTTAATTTATCTCATCCTCTTTCTTTTTCTTTTCACATCCCAGTCTTTTCTTTTTTTTAATGTACTTATGCACCTCTTCTTTCATTCCTTCCCCCTTTACTTCCTTTCTCCCCATGGTCTTTTCTCTTTCGATCCATTCCTTTTTAATGACTTCCTTCCTCCTCCCTTTTTCCTCTGATCAACATACTTGATTAAAGTGAAGGAAATAATAGAGCTATGTTGCATTTATTTGTGATACATTCAATCATTAGCTCTGCCCATTTATTCTTAGAGCGAGTCTCACCTAGGTGAGAGATGGGGCACATCCTGGATACGTCTAAAAGTCTTTTTATGCAACAACTTGGTAACGTTGCTTTTTGGTCACTTTTTTCTTTCTTCTCCTCTTTACCACTTTTTCTATCCACCTTCCCTCTCCACCCTTTCTCCCCCAACTGCCTCTTTCCTTCCCTTCTTAGACTGGCAGGTTGCTACGCTAGCCTTGTTGCTAGGGGGTGGAGCTTTGGTGCTGATGTCATTCCTGGTCGCTCTGGTTTCTGTGTGCATCGGCACAAGACGGCGATTCTATGCACCTGTCGCTTTCATGCTTTTTGCTGCAGGTCAGTGCACGCATGCACAATATGAACTATAGCTCATACACAATCATGGTCCTGGGTTGAAGGCCATACACTCATTATGCGCTGAAATACACACACCTAGTGACACACATAAACAATAAAATTATTTAATTAGGCAATTTAGACAAGGTAACTGCAGGGTTGCAGGGTAATCACATTGAAAATTGACATGCATTTAAATAATAATCCTTAGCATACTGATTAAATAGGCACACAAACTGTACACACATGCAGTTTCCTCAAAATAATTTAGAGAAAATCCTATTTTTATGATTTGGGCCTAGCAGGGTTGGAGCGTCATGCCTATCAGTTTAATCCAGCCCCAGTTTTGAGTTTTCCCCAGATCGGATAGCTCTCAAGTTTCCACATTTATTCCCATTTTCATCTCCTGGAATAATTGCAAAACTTCATATTTTTAGGTGTGAAATGTTTCATTTTGCAAAGCTGTCATACTGTGCAAACCACAGGAGTAAAATACAGCATTAAAGTGGAAATCATTTTAACCCTTGTGTTGCGCCCAGGTCAAATGGACCCTTTTTAGATTTTATTTTAAAGAAAACTGACAAAAGAAAAAATCTGTTGACCTGAAACTACATGGACTATACATTATATTTACATATAAGTAGCTCTTAATTGCATTGTGTCATTTCATCTTCAATCGTCCAGCACCATGAGCAAAAGGTACACTGCTCAGAAGGCCTTAAAGCTAATTTTAGCAGAGTGAGACAGCTAGTGGAGGGAAAGAAGAGGATGTCTCGGAATATGAGGAAAATACTGAAAAAACTTCTGAATATCAGAGTGAATTTGAGGATGATGAGGACTCAGAGCATGCAGCAGAAGAAACTACAGATCCCACTGCTGGAGGAGCCCCACAGCCAACTACATCCAAGAATGGCCAGATTGAATGGTTTTCATCTCCGATGGGTGAAGCCCCTGGTTCAGCTGCTAAAAAAATAGGGATGGTACCAGGACCCACACGAATGGCTGTGACACATGTTCATGATATAGTGTCATCATTTGAACTGCTGAATCCTCCTCACTCAATCCAAAAAATCATTCTGGACATGACCAACCTTGCGGGAAGACATGTTTTTGGGGAGCAGTGGAAAGAGATGGACCACATACATTTGCGTGCCTACTTTGGGATCCTTATCCTTGCAGGTGTTTACAGATCCAGAGGGGAGTCAACTGAAAGCCTGTGGCATGCTCAGACTAGGAGAGTGATTTTTGGAGCCACAATGTTGCTGGAGAGCTTCTGCATATTCTCCAGGGTTATCAGGTTTGATGATCGGGAATCAAGACCTGCTAGGCAGAGGAAAGACAAGTTGGCAGCCGTCCGTATGGGACAAGTGGGTGGAACAGCTTCCAGTTCCCTATAATCCTGGGCCCAATGTGACTGTAGATGAATGGCTTGTGGGGTTTAGAGGCCATTGCCCCTTCAGGCAGTATATGCCCTCCAAACTGGCAAGGTATGGGATAAAAATATGGACTGCCTGTGATGCGACATCATATTATGAATGGAACATGTTAATTTATACAGGGAAGCCAGAGGGAGGAGCCCCTGAGAAGAACCAGGGGACACGGGTTGTTCTTGATTTGACGCAGGGCCTCAGTGGGCACGTCATGTGAAAATTTTTCACTACATACAGCCTGGGACAGGAACTTCTCAAAAGAAAGCTGACAATGGTTGGCACAATTAGAAAAAACAGGACTGAGCTCCCACCTCAGCTTCTAATTGTAAAGAACAGGCCAGTCCATTCCTCCACCTTTGTGTTTACGGCCAACACTGCCCTCATATCCTACATACCCAAAAAGGGCAAAAATGTGATGCTTATGAGTATTCTTCGTAGGGATGTGACAATCAGCAGCCGGGAGGACCACAAGCCAGAGGTCATACTTGACTAAAATGCCACCAAAAGAGGGGTTGACAACCTTGACAAGCTGTTATCCTGCTACAGCTGCCAAAGAAGAACATTATGGTGGCCACTTGTGATTTTATTCAACATCCTAGATGTTTCAGCATACA